TCTTCACTCTCAGAATCACAGTACATCATCCTGGGGTGTAATCACAGTAACTTCACAGAACCCCACAAAATCACAGTTTGGGTTGGAAGGGAGAGACCATCAGGTTCCAACTCCCTGCCATGGACAGGGGACACCTTCCACTATCCCAGGTTGCTCCAAGCCTTGTCCAACCTGGCCTTGAACACTTCCACATTTGGGGAATCCACAGCTTTTCTGGGCAACCTGTGCCAGAACCTCAYAGGAAAGGATTTTTCCTGAAATACAGTCTTCGTTAAGAGCTGCAGGATGCTTGACAGGACATGCCTGGAATTACACAGATCATGCCTCATTGCATGAAATAAGTAGAAAAGTCACAGGMTGGGTTCAAAATATGCTTGTCTTCTCTCAATAATTAATTGTTTGTGAATTAATATGAGGTTTTGTGTTTTGAAAGTAAACTAATCCACTCGCTGGCTGGTGTGTAATGAAGGAGAACRGGCTGCTGTCAAGCAGTCTGAAAATAGTGAAAATTAACTCCATGAAGTGTCACAACTCACATATTTTATGTACATGAGTAATGTGTCTTCTGTGGGACAGAAGTTGAAAATACCACATGGAAAAGAAAAAATAGTGGCTGCCAATTTAGTAAGAGAAGCAGGAGTAATTGCTTTAACATAATTTGGCATTTTTAATGTTTGGTGGCATCAGGGCTGGGCCACTGCAAGAGAACCCACAGTTTGAACCAAAGGGTTCTACAACCTCTGTATTCACAGAGCTATCAAAGGGGAAAGAAACTATAATTAAAAGTCAGAATACACTGAAATTATAGAATCCCTTCCCAGGTTGGAAAGGACCTYAAGGATTTTCTTGTCTTTTTCTTGGCAAAAGACTGGTCTAGACAAGATGTCCCAGTACCCTGCCCAGCTGAACCTTAAAAGTGTTGGGRAATCCACCACTTCTCTGAGGAGATAATTCCAGTGACAGGTTGTTCTYATAGTGAAAAATTTTCCTCTTGTGTCCAGTCAGGACAGGAATAASTTTTTCSTGTTCCCCTTGTCTTTATTAYATATGACTCCTWGTAAAAAGGGAGYCTCCAYCTTGTTTGTAGCCACCCTATAAATACTGGWAYTSTGGWGAYAAKGTCTYCYCTCAACCTTTCCTCAAGGCTGAACAAACCCAGTTCTCTCAGCCCTTCCAGAGGCATTAAAACAGACAAGGCAATACTGAGATACAAATTCACTAACAAGTGGATTTTTTCTTGAGAAGTGCCMAAGTACTTCAGTTTTCTTAGGCTTCACAAGTGTTAAAACTGCGAGCACTTCAAAAAATTGGGATCTCTCAGAAAGAGAATAGAATAGGGATCATAAAGTCTTGAAGATAACAACCAGCCAAGGGTTCAATACCTCCAGCAAAATACGAATACTTTAGTACCAGAAGGCTCCCATATACCTAATGATGTTACTAGAAAATGGTTGAACTGTTTGAACTGCTGTTGTTCATTCCTCTGCAGGAGAATGTTATTCCCTTTGCCTCTCTCCACTTTTTCATTCTGCCATGGGGAGTGTGCAGAGAGAAGGCCATTGAAAAAGCCATATAAAACCTCGAGAATGCAATAAGCAGAACATGGCACTTTTAACACGACAAAACTACCAGCTTAGGTAAGGCTTGAAGTGCACATAAACTCCAGCACCTCCTCAGGCAAAGAGAGTCACAGTCTCAACAGAGAGGCAGCAAAAGGAGTTGAGATCATAAATGCTCTTCAGATCTACAAGCTTTGCTGCCTGAATGCACAATGAGCAATTCAAGGGCCCAGACATCTTCAAATCACCCAGGCTAAGCCAGGAGTGCACCTGCCCTGTGGTAACAACAGTTCAATATTCTGCCTCAGTTTGCTCACCCAGCACGAGGTGGGTGATTTATAACCTTGGGTGATTCCATCTCTGCACACCTTTCCTTGTTGTTCTGTTAAGGTCTTCAGTTTTCTGCGTAAACTCTGAGGTTTTGATTTTATTTGCAGCAGCCCTGGTATTGCTGCAAAGTGCTACTACTGCAGTKGGGGCAAATCCTCCTTGTGGTTTATTTGCTTCCCAATTTCACTGAGCAAAACACTCTTCCTGGCAGTGRCAGTGTCTGGTGGTGCTCAGGAAAACAGCAGCCATGTCCCAAGAATGGGCACACAGCTTTTTAACACTTACAGGGTCCATCAGCTGCACCCTCAGCTCAGGGGGCAGCATCTCCTTCCCCCTGGGCCTCCTCCTGTCACTGCCATGGGYAATCAGATCTTCACAAGCAGCCCACCACCTTCTCCAGCTGCCATACACCTTGCCAGCATGAATCTGCAAATGTTCTCAGGGCCAGAGCCCCAGAGTTTTATTCCCCAGCCTTTCCCCTGAGAGCTCCCCATCTTTCTGCTCACAATTCAGCTGCTTTGTAGCCAACATGGGAAATGGAAATAATTGACCTCATTGGCTCTTTCTTTGTATCCTCCAGCTCTTTCTCTTCCATCTTTTAGTTTTTTCCCTCTCTCTATGGGAGATGAAGGAAGGAGAAAGAGAAGCTGCTGTACAATCAGAACGGGAGTTACAGCAAGAAACAGAGATAGGGAAGRGGAAAACAGTAGAAATAGGGGAAAAACCCATGGAAAAGAGGAAAACTAAGAAAGTAAAAAAAATAAGGGAAAAAAAGAAGCAATTGATATTGCTTTATTTTATTCTGTACCAATACAATTTGTTTTCATTTCAGCCTAAGCCTAAAGAARRGAGATGAACCRRAAATCTCAAAGCATGGWGCTGGGCAGGTAATGAGGAAAAGGRGCMAGGGAAGGCTCTGAGACWGAGCWCAAACCTGTCTCTCWTTAGGGGCTGCTTAYACTCGTCACAAACCCTCTGCAGGACCATCACTGAGGCTGGACTTCATCGTTATTGAACTCTCTGCCAAAACCCCAGTCTGGACACTCCGCAGTTCCATAGGGCACTGTTTCCAGGCAGTTTAACATCTGTGGATTCCAGCGGGAGCCCTGAGTGCTCAGCTGTTGTGAAAATCAGAGAACGGGGGTTCGGGCTCGAGTTGTTTGTCTCCATYCCACCGGTGTGACCGGGTTCTGGCAGGGCAATCGTGACATCCAGCGGGAAACTCCTGAACTACAGCAACATTTGAGAGGTGCAACGAGCCGCTCCTGAGCTCAAACTGCAGCTGCAGGATAAAAGTGTAGAAGGGAAACTGTTCAAGAAAGGTTCTGTAGTGAATAGGTCAGGACTAAGAGTGCTGTCATCCTGTAATCTCCAATACCTAAAAGTTTGGAAATGTCTCTTCTTGCCCGGGAGAAAAACAATTGCTCTTTGGGGAAGTGTTGACAACAGCATTTCAGTGGGATTAATAGTCACACAGGATTCTCACTTCCACAAAAGGTTTTCTTTCATTGTTTTTGTTTTAAATCTTTGACTTCCTGACCTTTTGAGATGTGTCAATGCCTACGAGAAGGCTGGAGAGGAACTTTTGGCAAGGGCTTGTGGTAACAGGACAAAGGGGAATGGCCCTAAATGGAAGAGAGGTAGATTKAAATTAGATATTAAGAAGAAATTCTTCYTGTGAGGRTGGTGAGCCTCTGGCACAGGTTGCCCAGAGAAGCTGTGGCTGCCCCAWCCCTGGAAGTGTCMAASGTCAGATTAGACRAGGAYTGGAGCAATCTGGGATAGWGAAAGMTGTCYCTGCCCATGGCAGGGGTGGAATGAGATGAGCTTTAAGGTCCTTTCCAACTCAAACCATTCTGGGATYCTTAAAYTYTATGAAATCCCAGTCATTTTAGTAGTTTTCCTCAGTTCTCCATACTTGTGTCACTTGCCCTGGTGTTTGGAACAGGCCTGGGGAGGATAAATTATCTCAGACTTAAACTGGAGTAGATGTTTGTGACATAAATAATCGGAAGTACAGACAGAAATAATGCAGAAAGGACAAATAATCTCAGCGAACTGAGGACATGTGCCTGTCTTTTACGATTTCATTCTGCAGCCAGAAGGTCTGGGATCCCAGCCACTGCTCGGTGATCACACACCAGCTGCTTTCCAAAATGTTTTTTTCCCTCCAGTACCTAATCACAAGACCGGGGGGGATTTTCTTTCCAACGTGTACTTTGATACTTTAATCCGTGCCTCGCCATCAGCCCGGCACTGGAYTGCTGCAGGAGGAATTTTTGCAAGGAATTACACCGGTGTTAGTCAGGAATGAAGTGTCCCACAGGAGCGGGCGCACCCTGGGTCACAGGAGAGGCTCCTGAGGGCAGCCAGGCCTACGGAGACAAACCCCTGCGCAGTTTAATCTGGCTGAGTAAGGATCTACCGTGGTTGCATGGACCTGATGATGTGTTGGCTAATGACGTCACGATGACACGTTTATTAACGTCACGGTAATGACGTGGCTGCTGGATTGCTCTGCTGAGGACGAACCGCGCTGGGTTTTGCCCCACACGTTACCAGCACCGCCCCCGGCACCCCGAAGGGCCCGCCCGGACCCCGCCATCGCAGGTCCCCCTCACGAACCCCGCCATCGCAGCTCCCCCTCACGAACCCCGCCATCGCAGCTCCCCCTCACGCACCCGTGACGCGCTGTGACGTCACACCGTGCCCGTGTTACGGAGTGACGTCACGCCCTGGGCGGTGCTCCCGCCGTCACTCTCAGCCCCTTAGGCCCCGCCCCCACGGCGAGGCCACGCCCTCTCGCCGCTGATTGGTGCTCGCGACCCTGTACCCGCCCCCTCCCGGCAGTGCCCGCCCCGCCTTGCCCAGAGCCGCGTCTCCCGCTTGGCCCCGCCCCTCGCACAGGTTTCTCCAATTGGAGGACGGAAGCGTTGAGCGACAGCGCCGCCGGCCAATAARAGCGGCGCAGGCTCCTCCCCGCGCGGGCGGCGGCGCTCGCTGTGTGAGGGGTCGGGGCCGCGCGCCCCCCGCCCGCCGCGGCACCGCCGCGACCCCGCGCCGAGAGCTCCGGGTGCCTCCCGCCGCCCCCGACCCCGCGCAGCGCCCTCGGAGCGGTGCGGGGCGGCCGCGTCTCCTCCCCGGGCAGGGCCTGCGGGCCGCGCCCCGCCGCCTCCACCCCTCCCCCGGCCGGCCGCTCCCTCCCTCCGCCGAGCCGGAGCGGGGAATGGGCGGTCCCGGCCCGTAGCCCCCGGCTGCGGCTGCTCCTCCTCCCGGTCGCAGCGTCTCGGCGGCCTCCGCCCGATGCTGGCGGAGCTCGGGGTCTCGGCGGCGGCGTTGTGAGCGCTCCGGCCGGGCCGCCGCCGCCATGTCCGGCGTGGTGCGCACCCTGAGCCGCTGCCTGCTGCCGGCCGAGGCCGCGGGCCGCGCCGGGGAGCAGCCGCGGAGGGACGGCAAGGAGCGGAGCCGCGATGCGGAGCGGGAGGCGCGGCGGCGCAGCCGGGAGATCGACGCGATGCTGGCCCGGGAGCGGCGCGCCGTGCGCCGCCTCGTCAAGATCCTGCTGCTGGGCGCCGGCGAGAGCGGCAAGTCCACCTTCCTCAAACAGATGCGGATCATCCACGGCCGCGAGTTCGACCAGAAGGCGCTGCTRGAGTTCCGGGCCACCATCTACGAGAACATCCTCAAGGTGAGGGGCGGCAGAGGGGGGATGGAGCGCCGGGAGCTTGGGCTGTGCCCGGAGTCGCYGTCGGAAAAGGATGTGAGAGCTCGGCCGGGGTGGCGGCTGCGGCCCCCGCTTGCCCCGCCGCGGCTCTCGGTGCTCATTCCCTTCGGGAGGGGGTTTCGGGGCAGGTGTTTGGGATGGCCGGGACCTTTGTGTGCGGGAGGCCGGGAGATGTGGGTTCCAGCGTGACTCGGCTGAAGGGTTCCGTGAAAAACGCTCAAAGGGAATTTCCCTGCAAAGGGGATTGAGAAAAGCTTTGTGGAAACTCAGAGGAAAGAGGATATAGGTGTGGCCTGCCTTCTGGAAAAAACATTATGAGAGCATCCTCGAAGTCGGAATTGGAGAAACTTCAAAATTTGAAGAAATGAGGAAGAATTTCTCTGTCTTTGCAGAGTGTCCCGAGTCTGTGTGTCGAGATAGGAGAAGGAAAGGGTCCTCGTACAAATGTTGTGGCTGCAAGTGGTTGTTACTTGGTRCAACTTTAGAAATGGGAGAGTAGAGGCCCGCAGAGTTGGGCAGTGTGGGGTGTTACCAAACTTAGAGCTGAAATGGAAGCAACWTTGGGTTGGTGCCTTTGCAGAAAAGTTTTTGTTTAGTGTGTGTGCAGGCTGTATAGTGCTGGCAGTGTGTTYCTCTATTGACTGGAGGATATAAAGGCTGCTGGTAGAGCCTTTGGTCTATAAACCAATATTTCCCTAATGAGGGAAAATCAGCCTTTACAAATACTGTTTCTTTCAGGGATACAAGCTTTGATGCTCCGTGCAGGTGGAAGTGATCACATTTCAGAAAATATCTGAAGATGCATAAGAAGCTTGCTCAGGATTATACCCCTGTTCATCTTCATTATCTTTCCCGAAAAGAAATACTGCTTTCCTGACTATATTTTTCTGTAGGACCATCTCAGTTCTTTTGTGGGCATGGATTTGTGAGGCTCTGTGAGATTTTTTTGGAAGTTAAAGGAAAGGGAACTGTGCAAGTTAAAGATAACGAGTTACTTTTTGAGTTTCCAGATTTGTGTTTAAATAGAAGCTTTATGTGCACTTAATAAGTGCACGCATACAATGACTCTTGTTTTTAAGAATGCTGCTATTCCATAAAGGGCTTTCACTTCTGTTAATGAACAGGAAAATTGTTGTCTAATTTTCTTTTCCTTTTTGTTGTCCATTTTCAGGCTGGAGCCCTTTTAACTGCAAGAAAGCTGAAATTCAGAAGCTTCTCTCAGATTGTAGTTATGTGAGCAAAGAGAGTGTTATGATTTCTTTTAATCTAGAAATAAGAAGTCTTATTTTAGGTCTTAATGCTTATTGTGATCCTGCCAGTGATTTATTTTTTACTGCAACTAATTTCAAGTAGTAGCAGAGGCTTTTAGGGAAGCAGTTTGTGAAAATGGAAAAATCTGAGAATCTTCTTCTTTGGGTAGTCTAAGCAGTTATGGTAAAATGATGTAATATTTTATGTATGCAGAAGGTGTAGAGCTTTCAGCAGTAGAACTTAGTTGCTTTGGAAATGAAAGTAAGTGTCTCCTTCTTGTAGTAGGAGAGGCAGAGTTMCACACTTGAAACACTTGTTTGCTGGATGGCTCTGGGCAGATTTGCAGAATKCAGAGTACAATCCAGGTCCCTGAGGAAGCAGTCAGGTGTTTTGACAGTTAATAGCACTTCTTGGACTATGTCTGTTGAACTCTTTAAGTATTCTAATCCTCGAAACAAAATTTGGAAGTAGCTTTAAAGGGAGTTAATATGGTTCAGCAGATCGATCGCTCTTTTGGCCTTGCAGGTGGTGATGTGGGAGTGTTAAGGTTAGGTTGGAGTTCTCCTTTAGGTATGTGTCAGATTCTTCCTTCCCTTACTTCTTGAGATGGCACAGGTGGCTCTTGCATATAAGAATACAGTTTACACTCCCCTCTAAGCTTTTTGGAGAATGGCCTGGGAAAGGTCATTATGGAAAAAGTAGGCAGAAGGAGGAAGAGCAAACAAAGGGAACTAGAAGAGTTTTCTGATGGGAAGGCAGTAGATGTTTTGTTTGCATTTTTGCTCATCAGAGAGAAACCTGATAACACCTTGATATTCTGCCATAATCATCAGGAAKAAATCAAATACCAAGACAGAATAACAGCTTTCAAAACAGAGTGGTGTTGTCAGTGCATTTGTTTTAGGGTAATTGTGTCATACTCTCTTGCCTTAAACTTTGTTCCGTGGATAAACATCCAGCGTTTAAAGTAAACTTATTTAGCTTCTTTGACAATGTAAATTGTCATGTGCACATGATTCTTGCTCTTTCTATAATGGAGTGTTTAGACTACAGGTTCTTTTCACTTTTTCAGGAAATTCAGTGATTACCCACTAAGACTTAAACATATGGCGATCTTGGCTTCATTAACTGACAATAAAAGATCTCAGATGAATTTTTATAGTACTGTATGTGGACAATGTGAAGTGGAAATGATGCTATCAAATAGCATATAAATCTGTGTGACATTGTGAAGTACAGCTGCAGCAACCTTAGCCCCTTTTTCCACACAGTTCTCAGCATGGTCAAACAATGGTCCTGCTAAGCTTCTGCAGCACTGAGATCTGAGTTAGAAATGCAGTGTAAATCTCTGGGATTAAATGGTCAATTTTCATTTTCCAGCCATGACTAAACTTCTCTCTGAAGGAGGAACATTCCTACTCTCTTAACTGTGCTGGATATTTCTAAAATGCTTATTGAAGTAGTGTTTAGGCAACTGTGCAGCTTATGGAGAATGAAGAAACTGATTCAGAGAACACAACATGAAACCCCTTTGAAAATAACAGTGCTAAGTGTGAATTGACATTAGTGTCAGCTTCCATTCTATTTTGTGTTTTCACCTTCTAGCTTTACTGATATCTTCTTAATGCTGAGTTCTTTGCTTACCCTGTTCTTTCTGGTTCTCCTCTCCCATTTTGGGGAAACCCTAGTTAGAAACAAAATGCTGAAGCAAAACAAACCTATGATACAGAATTTACTTTTCCATTTAGTACAGGTGATGGTTCAGGGCCTTGCTAGCTTTTTCTGGCATTTGTGGGATGGTATTCAAATACAGGAGTTTTGCTTTGGTTTAAGGTAAATAGTCATCGGTTAACTCRGGTTTTGCTTGTTAATCGAGGCTAAGTTTCAAAGTAACTTTTTGGAACTTTTTGATGATGGAAGTGAAAAGCAGTAGTGTTAATGTTCTGGTATGAGTACACAGGCTTCAGGCCTTCAGCACACCCACCTGGAAAAAGAAAGTGCATAGGATGGGGCTGTCTGGCTGCTGGGACATGAATTTTAAGGTGASTCTTGGTTATGCAGAAAAACTTGGAAAACTTTCATGTACCTAATGTTTCAAATCTAAGCAATATCTGGTGATATTACATGAGTATTCTGATGCTTTTCAACTGTAGCTACAGGAATCTTTTGATACCTTCCATCCAAAACAGATGGGTTGGCCTTTCTACTCTACTTGCTTCCTTTGATAAAAGTTAAAGAGTTCAGCCACTCAACGAGTCACAGCTCTGATGTTCCTTGTCTAAATGTTTTTTTGTTTCGAGTATGTGAATATCATGCTGCTTAAAAAAACCTGGTTTAGTTGCATAGGAAAATAATTAAAGCAATCTACTTGCACCAGCTTGTTTAGGAGATTTCAATCTGAAGAGAGAAAAAGTTCAGCTTTCAAAAGACTGAAGTATAGTCTGTTGAGCTCTTTTGGTAATGTTAGTTCAAGGTTTCAATACGTCCATGAGTGTTTTCTTGTTGTCTGTGGCCTGACCTGTAATGATTGACTAAGGAACTGAAAAGCCTGGAATTGCAGAGGGAAGGACTACACAGGAAATTATGTGTAATTTCATTTGTGAGCTCTGAGTGGGGAAAAAACAAGGAAAGATTCTGAACATGCAAAATCTTTGAGGAACAGTCCTTTGGGACTTTTGAGTGCAGCTGCAATACAARTGGGAATACCTGAGAGCATTTCTCCTTGACAGCAAGAATATGAGTGGCACTAARGCAAAGTAAGTGATTTGTGCTGAAAGCAGCTTTAAGAACTTTAGACTTCTGCAATTAATGCTAAACCTGGACTGTTGCTGCAGGGACTGTGTGTACCTTGAATATACTGAAGTTGGGTTTATGGTGGCTGAAGTAAGGTGGTTGTACCTCCTGTCATCAGCACACAAGCAAAGAAAACTCTTTTGCAACTTTCGAGTTTCAGCTGGGTACAGATACAAACTCTGGGACATGCAAAAAGAATATTCCTCTATTTGTTTGGGAGCTACACTTGCAAGTGACCAAGTTACTACTTGTATATAATGTAAGCATTTCTTCCAGTAGCCTACAAACAAATGGGGAATGCATCTTGTGAACCCCAGTTACTCTTTAAATTGTMTTGACTCCCCACTTCCCTGGGTTTTCATGCAAATGAATTTGGAAACCCATTAGGAGGTGATGATGGTGACACTCCATCTGCTAYTTCAGAGCTGGGATCCTGCTGTTTCAGTAGTTGGCCTTGGGGCCAGTGTCAGTCTTCTTTCTCCTGGAACAGATTCTCTTGAGAGGAATGATAGGGAGACTATAGGAACTGTGGTTAATTAGGACCTTTTCCTTTAAATTTACTGTACAATTTCTGTACTAGAACAGCTTTTTAATTCTGATTATATTTGCTCTGAGCTTATTTGGTAAGAAAAATAATATTTACTAAATTATGCAGGAAAGAAAAAACCCTGATGAGTCTTACTGATCTTCTTGTTCCAAGCTCATTTAATCAATGGCTCTCTCACTAACTTCCAGTTGCTGTATTTTCTATCTCTTAAATGTAAGTTCCATCACCTCTGGTGGCCCCTTTGCGTTTGGAGTATCTCTTTGTTGGGCTAGGAGACAGCAATCTCTCTTCATCATGGCAGATAGCAGAAGAGGAGTAATGGTCAGTAGTAAGTGATAAATATTCATAGTTGTTCCAAAATGGAGCTCACAAT